ATCCTTCCCATCGTGGTAACTGAGTTAACTGAATACAATTGTCAGAGTGTGACATCCACAAGCACCAGCCGATGGCGTGTGTTCAAAGTCAAAGTTATTGCAATAGTCTGTTCAAACAGGTGAATCAAAAAATCATACAAGTTCAACTACTAACTGTTGGAGTGCTAGTGTCCTGCATCAACCTTTATGCCCTTGCCCACTGTTTCTCAACCTTGCAAGTTTGGTAAACCAGTCATGCAAGTAGGAACATGGAAGAGCCAGCAATCGACAACAAATGCTATGGTTCTACATTTCTATTTGTTCTTTTTTTGGGAATTGTTGGGTAAGAGGTGAACCATGGTTTTCTAGTGCCCGCCTTTCCAGCCTGAGCTGGGTTATGTCGAACAAATTTTCGACACAAATAGGGTTTCAAAAAGGATATGATCGTTGGTTTTTGCATGACCTCCCTGCTCGAAACAGCTGAGGCACCTTATATTTGGATTCATCAGTTGGTGATGTTACGTGGCCACATCATGTTTGGGAGCGTGTTCGGAAGGCAAGGATTGCTTAGCAAATCAAGTGGCGATGTGGGGAGCAAACAGAAGATGGGAACACCAGGAAACAAATCTTAGAACATAATCATGTGAACGGACCAAAAGCTGAACTCGTTTGCCGCAAACACAACGCGCGGCCAGTGCAGGATCCCACAACAGCAACCGTTCAGCAGGTGTTGGCAGGTAAACGGCAGTTGAACAGTTGGGTATTCGATGGGTTTGATTGATGTATATATTTGATTGTTTTGATTGTGGTCCGCAGTTTTTCTTGTAGGTTTGAAGTTTGAAGTGGACACATGTTTGCCTGATATATATAATACCCATCCAATGCTCTTTCGAGGGATCCTAGCCACATGTACGTTTGACTCTAGTAGTTGACTACTTGGCTCACTGGGAGTGTCCTTCTTGGAACTGGTGATGAGTAGACGCAGGAGATGCCGTTGCTTCAGCTCGGTGTAGGGTCTAAACACGTCTAAACACGTGCAAACCAATGTCAGAGTGTGTGTGTGTTGCAAACAGGGAGACCCCTTGCCCAATGGGGTTTTGGTATGTTTTGATCTATTTCCCTTCTTCCACAAAAGACTTAGCAAAATACCACGAGTTTTTGACCATTTCCCTCAACATCAGTGGTGGCCTTTACAGCAAAGTACTGCTGAGATGTGCAAGTAGTCTACAGTACAGGTACAAGCTGAGACGTACAGTCTGTGGAAACACCAAGTAGTCTGCCCAAATCACTTTTGGTGTTTCCCCAAAGCCAACCGAGTCGCCCCGTCGTTCGCGCACGCGTCGTGACGAAATGAGGCTCGCGTTCAGCTGGGAGCTTTGGCTCCTCCTCGCCTAGGCACCCGCTCCAAAGGTCCGAGCGGGGTGACCGAAAAGGCCGTGCGTCCAACAGACGTTCCAAATGACTCCAACGGAAGAAGGGACATATCACCTTCCCAAGTCGTTTCGTTCGGTGTGGAAAGGTGTCTCGTCGTCTGTCGTGGTCTGTCGATTCCTACAACCCCAAACGGATGGCCCTGAGAAGTCATCGAATAAGTCATCTAACGGTTTCATCTGAAAGTTGAACTAATGCACGAAAGTCACTGTGTATAGGGACGCCCTCCATCCCACGATTATTGTAGCATGTTCTGGTTTCTTCATGGGTCATTTGGACCTCATTGAATGGAACACTTTTCCTGCAGCACCTGGCACTGCGCAGCGCACTCTGAGATGTTGCAAGTCTTCACAGACGAAGACATGGTTTCCATTGAAGCCGGAATCACGGCCACCGGAGTTTTTGCTGAGCTGTGGTAAGGAGCTGCATGAAAAGGTGCCACCACAGCATGAAACGGCGGGAGGGCTTGACCAGGCTGTCTTGCGAGATTGTATGAGATTGTACATGGTTGACAGGCAGAATATACGATGAGTTAGCATCAGAAGCGGTAATGGCGGTGGAATTCGAACCACGTTTTTAATGTTTTTTTGTTCCTGAACACATTGATATGCTTTGCAATCTGTGCGTTGAGGTCAGACAATGTGGTTTTTCCAATATAAACCAAGTACTTCGTTGCTTGTCAATTCGAGCGGTTTGGTGTTCGGCCCGAGGTCCGATCGAAGCATTGGCTGCCCGTCTTCCAACGCGCCCTACGTGAAGGTGCGAAGCGCCGTTCGGCAGCGTGCAACGCGTTTTCACCCCAACCAGTGTTGAAGCCCGACATTTTGTAGCACGTGTGTAGCGCGTCCACACTTTCAGATCGAAAGCGAAGGGTTCTATTAGGGTGATCCAGGGGTCAGTCTATAGAGGTGCCTCGGGGAAAATGACGGGATGAGGCTTAAAGGGATAAGGCTTGATTGCTTTATCACTTATAGAGAGCGCACATGCATTGTGCAATGGCACTTGGACTTGGATTCTGTCGGATTGTTTTGTATATGGTGACAAGTGGTTTGGACTGAGGATGTTCCTGAATTGGTGCCTCTGGAGTCTCATTTAACAGTGGCCCTTCCTTCAGGGGATCGATCCAGATGTGTGTTTTCTTTAAAACAACAATTATTCTGTGAGTCTGAACCTGGGTTTGCATTTGATATATTTTTTTTTGACACCCTCCAACTTGATATATGATATATGTGTATTTCCACATTGTAATTAAAAAACATAGAAATGTTGGATCTTGCAAGCACTTGTTCAATGTATATTTACCCTTGCGGGCGGGTTGTTCCGCCGGCCTTTGGGCTGAAGCTGTCCTCGGGGGGAGGGGGGGGAAGTTAGACGATTCAAAAAGCCGCGCCGGTGCACACTTAAGCTTACAACAAAACTAGAATAGCATACAAACCAATCACCTAAAACACGCCGTGCCCAAGGGCCGGCGGATTCGGCGGATTGGACCATGTCGACCTGCCACAGTCGGCAGGGACATGGAAACAGGTGCTCCAAACCTATAATATCATGTGCGTCCAAGCCACCTTTTTTGGGAGCACAGTCCTCACAGGTCCTCACGGTCACCCAATAATGGGACCAAAGGAGTGTACTCCGACGGTACGAGTGCTGACACGTCGGCTTTTCGGGTCTTCGGCGACTCGGCGACTCGGCGACTCGGAGTCCTGTACTGCAGACGAGTCTGGCGTTGGAGATGATGGAACTTACAGACACACAAAGTTGAGTTTTGAGGGAAGATCATCATATTTCAGAAACTCAAGAGTTGTTAAGGACCCTCTGGAGAATGAGGGCTGATGTTGACCAGCCCCCCCAAACGCCTCCAGTACATACTAGTCGTGAGGAACACAAGCACACACACAGGTTACTGCAGCAAATATCCACAAGCCTATATAGCCAGCACTACCATCATACTGCTACTAGTACCATTTCTTCCCCAGCGTCCTGCCCGACCTCCACCAGCCCGTCCGGAGGTTTGCACGACCCGCAGCTGGCGCGGCATGTGCTGAGCCAGCTCGAGCGATGGAGGGATGCCGCTGGGACCTGTGTTTAGACGTGACCGTGGGAGCCACGGGATGCCGGGGATGCAAAGGTGGGCATCCCAGGACTGGGCAAGGCGGAATCACAAGGCCGACTGCCTGAGTAGGGCGTGGAGAACGAAAGGGGCGGGGCGCCCTCTTTGGGGTCTATCGGGTGACAATCTCCAGCATTTGTGTGCATATCAAGCTCACCGACACTGCATTTTGGAATACCCACCACCCACTCTCATCCAACCACAACAGTGAGGATTGCCTCATGTCCCGCCTGATTGACCCTGGATCGAAAAGTAGAAACAACCCAAACCCCAGCGACCTAAGGCTGGAGCCCACCTAGACTGGTCGCTCTTGTTACCCAGCTTGGCCGCCTACCTGGCAGGACGCCTCAGTGGTTGCAGGGTGCTTCTGGTGTTTGGATGAGTTTATTGAAGTGAAGCAGCAGTTTTTTTCAACAGCAACACAGGATGATCGCTGTTTTAAAATGTAAGACTTCTCGTGGAAGCGGCCGGCCTACTTTGGGACCTTTACGGTACGTGGATTCTGCAGGATTGTCTTCAAGTACAGGAAAGGATGGGGAGGTTGAGAACGTGTACAGCATGCTTCCATGTGCATGCTGCAGCATTTACGCAGTTTCGATCTATCCTACTGCACGTTGGAGAAGCCAGACATGTTCGGAGTGGTGTTCTAAGGCAAAGTTCCCCATTCCGAGGGAATCAACATCGTTGTTCTTTTCTTTTCTATGTTTCTTCATGTTCTCGGTTTTTGTGTCAATGCAGCATTGCAGGGTTGAAGATATAATGGTTGACTGGTTCTGAGGACACCTTGGTGTGTGAAGGTCTTTTCCTGGCAACATCAATCCCCACCTATCCAAACACAGGCTTCTGCACCACTCTGTACTATGTACTGATCTTTTTCTCGTGCATTCCCGTACTTGCAGTGCGCAAGCCAAAGCCCCGACGGTCAGCTCCGTGGAAACCACTCTTGCTTCGGCACGGCTTTGGGTCGCCAATGTTCAAGGCTTGGTGAATCTTGGAGCTTTTGGAAAGGTCGGATGTGTGTGGTCGTGATGGTCCCTGTGGGAACGGCTTGTGGCTGATTTTGGTATAAAACCTGGGCTTGGGCTTAGCAGCGGCGTTTTTAGTGGACCCTGTGGTGAGAGTGAATGATGGCGAGAAAGCGCAACAGCAAGCGCGGCACAATCATTGACGGTAAAAACATCGAAGCCAGTGGATTCAGTGGATGCAGTGCAACGGTTTGATGAACTTGTTACACACCCAGGCCCCATACCTTCTTCAATGTTTGTTCCCTTCTTTGGCACAATGCCGCCGACCCCTTTAGGACATGACAGCCGGTTACCAATCAGCAACGCTTCAGATGCACCCCGTCTGACTCCGATTCCCGTCATTGACTTTGGTCTTGCTCACGACCGGTCGTTGCCCTCAAAGGGCCCCGGCGGAGCGTCCTCTAATCGGCGGTCCACTGCAGCAGAACGTCCGGGCAGCCCAGTGCGTTCGTTCGGAGGAACCATGATTTCCGATGATGGAAAGACGGGGGGGAAATGTTGGGAAGAGATCTGTTTGTTTTTGGGAACGGATCCGAAGAATTCCCTAGGAAGCAGCAGTTTGTTGTCGTTGCCACAGCTAGAATTATATAGGTGGTGGGTAGTGACTAGCCCATGACTGAATCTGGGGCCCCCCGCAGTGTTTTTCAGGATCATGTATGACTTTTTGTAATGGAAAAAGGTCGACATCCATGCTCTTTCAGAGCTTGTTGTTGCCTTTGATGGGGAGAAGTTCAGGAGTAGGTGGGGGTTCAGCCTGCGTTTTGTTGGGGAGTTCAGAGGTGGTTTGTGGAATCCGTGTTTTTCTTCTTTCTGCGAAGGAGTGGTACCTTAGACCACACAATCATACTAAAGATTCCTACTGCAAAAAAATAACATTTGAATGACAGAAGGCCTGTGTAGATCATTCCTTGCGATTGTGCTCATAACTGCAAATTACTTTAGGCTGTACGTTGAAAGTTCCAAATAGTTCCGGAGGTGTGTTCGCTTGACTACTTTTTACAATGCCCTGCTTGGTGAGTTGTTTGTTTGCCAGTCCCAGAAGGTGTTGTGGTTGGTGATCGCTAGACAGAACTAAGCAATTGCAATATACGCAGCCACACTAAGCAGGAGGGACTTCCGCTGAAGCTTATATCCGTGAGATGTTTCGGAAATTCTCTACACCACCCCACAGCCGACCCAGCCGCTTAAGCAGCTATAATGTTTGGACAAGATTCCAAGTCACTTGTCACTTGGGGGTGCTTCATGGACAAGTGATTCTGAAATCCCCAGTTTGTTGAGAACAGGAAGAAAAGCAGTGTCGTGTGCCAAACCCAGCATTTCTCAGACAAACCCGGAAAACACTTACGCAATCGACCGATCTCCTGCTAATTGATGCTAATTGGGTCCGTTTGTAGCCGGTGTGTGGCCATCTTCTTGGGGATTCTAGGTGCTTTTTCATTTGGCAGAGAACTGCATGGCGGCCCCTTGTTCTTGATGGACAACATTCTGCAGCATCTGGATGTAGAACCTCCTGTAGGTCCCACAGAAAGTTGGTATTAATGCTATCTAGTTGTACAGGAAGCTTTTTTCTTATCTAACTTTTGATGCTTGATCTAACCTGCCCTCAGACCTTGAGGAAAGTGAGTTCCCAATGTCCAAAGATATCAGACTGCACCTTCCCAGTGAGTGCAGTCGAATTTTGAGGCAACTCCAGCGACCTTGAACATCCTTCGGGAACCATGCCCTCTCCGAAAATCTTGAGACTCAATCTTGAGATCCACTCTACTCAGTGAAACAAGCCAAGCTGTTGAGACAACTCCACAGACTCCCAAGCTGTTTGAGAAAACAAAGACAGACTTCACACACCAGGGATGGCACACTTCAGGAACATCGCGTGCGGCATTTCACACCCTGAATCATCTCATGATGGCACATCTTCTTCTCCACCGTGGCCACCGTGGCCACCGCAGGTCGAGCCACACGTGGCCTGGCGGCGGGGCCCAAGGCCGAGGATCGCTGGGGGTGCCCAGCGCCTCGGAGAGGTGACCCCTCGTAGACATCGACAGTGAAGAACAGGCCGCGTAAGTGGGGGTAAATTTTTCATCCCAACCGAAATGCGGTGCTCAAGTCATGAAGCCCAGGAAATATGTTCCTCCCCAGCTTCGAAGCTCCCCGTCTGGTGAAGATCCGACCCGTCGAGGTCGGACCTTGCTGCGGCGAGTGCTGCGCTTCGTGGGATCTTTAGGTGCGACTCGTGTGCGATGGGTGGAGCCCATGGATCGAGCAGGTGTGACTCGGTGGAGCCTGTGTTGAGCACATT